GGTGCAAAGAGAGCAGGGTCTGGCCCAAGGGAGTTCAGATGCAGCAGACTGATCTACCATCAGGCTACAATATGTTCCCAGAAGGTACAGTATAATTCTGAGGCCAAGGAACAGCCTATTAGCTCTGCATGCCATTAATTTTCATGAATAGTTCAATCCAATGTTCACAGAAGCCTTTGGGCATCTTTCCATTTTGTCTAGCAGGACCTGGATTAGGGCTTATTTATCTTTTCATTTTATACCTTATCTTTAAGTAGGAAGCAGCCCAAACAGCTGTGCAGGTTTCAAGCCCTCAGCCAGGCTCTGTGCCCAGCCGCACGCAGGAACCTGTCTGCAGGTCGGAGTGATGGCATGTCACAGTCAAAGCCACTCAGGGAGAATTAAACTTCAGGCTTGTTTGACTAAACTTCTGAATTCACCACAGTTCCCCTGTTTTGCCAGCCTGAAGAAACAGCCCAGCAGGTTCTCGAGTCATATGCCAAAATGCCTCCTTCATCCTCCCTGGAATTGGAAATGATTACTAATAGGTATTCTTGCTGAAATGATTTAACATAACGTGCTGAGTGAGATCACTAAGTCAAAATATCTCTTCCTAAGTGAGTCTCTCGCCGCTTGCCTGAATGCCAGAGGGGAAGGAGGACAGCATGAAGTGAATTCTTTTGCTGGCTTCTGTGTTTTACAACATCTTTTAAATTACAGAAGAATTCATATTAGGAAGTTTCACTCAGGCTCATTACAAGAGGTCCATGATGCAGGTCTGGCAGGCAGCCAGGGGAAGGAGACCCAGGGGTTTGGGTTAACCTCTCTCTTTCATGCTTTCCTCTTTTCCACTGCTCTACAGTCTAGCCCAGGAACTGAAGACAGGCAAGAAGATGAGGTGGGCATGAAAGCAAAGATGGTGAGGGGCAGGGCACTCTTTGCTCTGCATGCACAGCCCTGGATTTGCATCACCAAGGCAGCTGCATCTGTTACAGCAGGCTGCAACCAACAAGCGAAACACAGGATTTGGGGAGGAACAGGGGTGAGCACCACAAAACACACCACTGCGTGCCAGGGCTGCTCAGGGTTTCACTAAGAGACCAGGCTGCCCATCTGAGTCTGTCAGCCTCAAAATTAACTTATTGAGGTCAGCACTCATAACAGTAGTGCAGACTTTTGATTGAGTCTTCCTTTCTGAGAAAGCCCCATACTCTCTGGCCCAGTACAGCTATTACCTGCCAACCTAAAGGATGATGAATGTTATTTATATTGCAGTAATGGCTAACCACTCAGTGGAGACCAGGGACAGGCTGTGCTATGGACTTTTCAAACACTCACTGAATGAGGGCTGCCCAAAAACGCCTGAAACTGCTGAGACATTTCAGGATAATGTTCTTGAACGCCTTGGACATGATGACCTCCAACAACTCTGCAGTACTTGTGCTGACTGCAACAACACAGGGGCCTGTTCTACAGTAAAGATGTTCTTGAGTCATAAAAATTCTTATCAGTCACTGCTACATGCTGTCATGATAGCAAGCAATTACTTGAGAGGAGGCTTTTAAGTTCCTGGATGAATAAATGTAAAATATTAATCTATTTCAAACCAAACAGAAAACATAGGGGTATAAAGAGTTATTCTAATGAATAGTTCTCCTAATATTTAGCTGCTAAAGTTTTGCTGTCCAAGATATAAAGTTGATTAATGAATAAAAACTAGTCAAGATGTAGATGGGAAAAGTAATCCTGAAACAGTAAAACATGAAGGGCCTGATTCTATAAAAGAAACCCTGTAAGACCAATTTAACTTTGTCATGTGCAAACTTGCACGATTAGGCTTCAAACAACTGCAGAAAAATGTAAGAACTGATAAACTATAGCTTTAGCTTTCCGCTACAGCGAGCCCAGAGGGTAGATAGCTGACACTTCCCATGAAATACCCTCTCAAGAAACAGCCCTGCAAAGATGCAGAGGAAGTACATCTAAAACATTCAGTGCAGATGTGTTTTTCACTTTTAATCATTCTCTTTGTATCTTAGAAAAATCACACAGTGACTTCTTTCGTATGCACTGAGGTACAGAATCCTAAAATATTAAGTGATGAATTCTACCAAGAATGCCTTAGAGATGGTGCTGAGGAATAAGTGTCAGCTCCTCTTTCACCCCTTCTACAATTAATATTCCAGTACTATAATTCTAAAATACATTCAGAAATCAGCAGACATTTGTATCTATCAGAAACTTTATTAAAATACAAGTGCTAAGAATACCTTACCTTTAATTATACTCTTTACACTTAAAAGTTGCTTTAGACAAGGCTGTGTCAGAGCTTCATAGCCAAAAGCCTGAAGATATCAGAGCCCAATAAACAGATTAAGCAGGGATTAACCTGAAATGCTTTTTTCTGTCTTTTCCATCAGATGAGTGGTCACTCCAATACCAACTGGGAGAAATTAAGCACACAGTAAGAGACTGCAAGTACTTTCTAGCTGTCTCAACTCTAGAAGTCTCCTGAGAGGGCTGATGTCTCAACATCTGGGCATTCCTTTCACTGTCAGACACTCAGAGCAATGGGATTTATCAGCAATCTGCCGAGCATATACAGATGACAACTGCAGAGCTTGGAGAGCTCAAAGGCATTTGCAGATAGAAAGGGGTTTGCAACAGACATGTGGAGCCAGAGCCGAGACCCAGAGCCTGTGAAAATTATTCCCAGTAGCTGTAAAGCCTTTAGCTGCAGTAGTTAAACCAGGCACCACAACATGCAGAATTTAGCCTGGGTGCACTTTACAATTAAATAAACTGTTTGAGAGAGGCTGAGCAGCCTCCACATCACATATTACAAGGAAAAGGATGCTGGGATAATGCTGGAAGGTGGTCTTTGCTGCCTAAACTACACCACCACCGTCACTCAAATACATGGAAATGAAGTGTTGTTTATAAACAGGTTTGGGATGGCCAATGCATTTAAAGCTCTCTCCAGAACCCACATCTCACCTAATGGTACTTAATGCCTCACAGATTTTGCACCACCACGATTCACGTATATTCCTAAACCTTTAATGTATCTCCTTGAAAAGGGATATGATTTCTTGGTATAACACAGAGATGCATTATATCAAAAGATTTTCCCTGTATTGATATAAACTCCAAATAATTTTCCAAAGACAGCTTTATTTTTAATAATTTGTCCCTTTCACATTTTTCAGAATAGCTTTATTCACTTATCATAGCAAATTGCTTAAGTTCCTCCATCCTCCAATGCAGCCAGTGACAGAACTTCACAACAAACTTTTTATAGCAGCAAATGTGTTTTTGTTTCCCTGGCATCCTAAAAAAAAAGGAATCTTTCTTCAGCTACAGTCTGTACAAAAGCATAAGTTAGCTCTCTGGTGTTCAAGAATAGCTGGTTAGACTCTGAGGCTGCAAAAGATATATTATCACATCTGTGTCTAAATATTTATGCTTCCTATGTCTGCTAAAAGCAACACCTACAATTGCTATAACTGAAAATGACAAGATTAAAAAATATTTTTCACCAATTTGTCACCCTTTTGCATTTAACAACACTAAAGATACAGTGCAGTTCATTAACAGAGTTTTGCCTGTTTCTGTTTAGCTATAACAAGGGAGAAATAAATGTGTTAAACAAGAAGTAAATGGAATTGTAAACACGACAAAAATAGAAACAGATTTTGTGGGGTAGTACGGCATGAAAAACTGCTTAACACATGTGAAAAGGAAAAATCATAGAATCATAGAATCATTTAGGTGGAAAACACCTGTAAGATCATTGAATCCACCATTAACCCAGCACTGCCAAGCTCACCACTAACCCCTGTTCTTGAGAGCCACAAATGCACGTTCTTTAAATACCTACAGAGGTGATGACACCATCACTTCCCTGAAAAGCTTGTTCCAATGCCTGACAACCCTTTTGGTGTTAACTTCCAAGTTGTCTCACTCAACTGCCTTTAACCATAGCAGCAGATAAGATGGCCACCCTTTATTTCCATGGGATTTCCTTGCCCAGCAGGTTCATTATAAGGTTTTACCTTAGGGTTCCCAGGCACTACACTTGATATAACTGCCAGTAATAAACTTTTTTCCACTATTTTTGCGTATTTAAGTAATTGAAAAACTTTAAATTGTGCTACCATTTCTTTGTGAGTGGGGAGTTGCCATCATGCATATATGACAAAGGCAAAAATACAAAAGCAGAAAATGTCATGAATTCTCCTTCAAGCAGATAGTATTGCAGTAGCACTGAACAAGTTTATATTAATTACTTTCAGAAGGATAAGGAGATGTCATATTTCAGATAGAGGATTCTACCAAAACCACTAAGAACAATCCGTAAATTTAACAATAGTGAGATTTTTTCATAGAATCATTGTGATAGCTGTCAAGCTGGGAAAAGCTTTTTGTAATGCCAGTACAATTGTTCATTTAAACAAAAGCTAGTAATTCAGTCACACTGGAACAGCTCACATGCCCAGCTCTGGCGTACAATCTGCACACAGGCAGATCCATATGCATAGCTGCCCTTTAGTTTTCATATTTGGGGCTACAATGTGATTTGTCCAGACCTGAGCAGAGCCCCACAAAAATCAGGCCAGAAGGCAATTTGTGGTTGAGTTATAACAAGCCACCTGTGTTTTTCCTTGTTGGAAGTGGGAGGTTTGGCACCCCAGGTTAGCAGCTGGTGTAAGACACACTCTCTGCAACCAGGCTAACCATGTGGTCATTCTTTTTCCCTGAGCCCTCAAAATAAGGGAGCACAACTATTTGTAGAGATGTCACCTTGCTCTGTGTGCAGTGACAGACTGAAGTACCAAAGGTGTCAACTGTATCCTTCCTCAGAGAGTGAGCTCACAAGAAAATCCCAGTATAGGTTTTTGCAAGTAATAAAGACCCAGAGACCCCATTAACTACCTCCACCCAAGGCAAGGCCTTGATCATTAAGGTGATTTACTAACAGCAAAACCAACTCTGTAGAAGAAATAAAGTGTAACTCTTACCTCCTCGTAGACATCATCATTCCTGCTGAAGTCCCCAGCCCTCCTTGGAAGCACATGGACATGAACATGCTAAAAACGTGAAAAAAAATAATGGTGATTATCAGGTTCATGACTTTGTTTTCTGGATTGTCAGCATTATTCTCAACACACACAAGTAACCACACACAGGATCCCACAGCATTATTTTCAGAGGTAAACACATTAACCCAGTCCATAACTGTATCTCGACTCTTTGGAGAATATAAAAGATGAAAAACACGAGAAAGCAGCTCTGCTGTATTATATGAGCTGCAGAGTGAAACACCAGGAAGTTTAGAGGCTCTGTGGAATTATTCACAGTCGTCAGTCAGAGATGTATTTAGCCAGAGGTTTGCAATGACAATGTCCCTCGGAGAGATGCATGAGGTGTCTTCAGAACTGACAAGAATAAGAAGGTGCTGGTGATGGGATGTGGTGGAGGGCCCGTGTGGGCAGCCTGGGCTCAGGGCTGTGCTCACAGCCTGGGGGACAGAGAAGCCCAGGGGACACCACAGAGACCATGCAGGTAGAAAGGCTGACAGAACAGGACACTCCCCAGGCTGTGCAGCACAGCCTTTCACAAGGTTAAAAAGCTTAAATTGCCTGAACACAACAAACTGAAGCCCCCAGGGGCACGTGGCCTGTGCTGTGGACACACCCCTGCAGGGACATGGACTCCAGAGCACCAGGCGGCCCCAAACCTGCGAGGCACAAGGATTAGCAGTCCAGTTTTTCAGAGCCTGAAGCATAAGCATCCCTCTCCTGATGGCAGGGCCATGGCTCAGGGGGCAGCAGAGCTGAGGACTATGAGCTGCACAGGCAGCTTTGGGTTACCCAGCATGGGAAGGGCGAAGTATTTTTGTCACAAGTGCTGATGAGATATGGGGAAAACAAACAACACTGTGGACAGGAACACAAATATATGACTTGCCACCTTGATGTTATATTATTACTATTACCATTTTTTTTCCTGACACTCTCTTTATACCATAAAGAAAGGGTAATTCAAGATCCTCAAGACTCAAACTCTACTAGGAAATCAAACAAACAGTCATCCATCTGCTTCTCTGCAGTAAGTTCAACTACTACATTGCAAAGCATTCTTTTACCTTTTTTCCTTTCTCTTTCACTCTCTTTTGAGAAAAGGAAAAACAACAACAAAGAATAATTCTTCAGGGAAAAAGCCCCCCAACACCTCAATGAGGAGAGGCAGCAAATAATCTGAGTGGCAGATCACATTTATGGATCTCCAGGTCTTTTTAGATGGTGCCTAAATCCTTAAAAAAAACAGAGAAAGAAAGAAAGAAAAAAAAGAACAGCACCAAATGGTTTGCATAGAATTTAGATAGCTTGCACCTGATTCAATTTGATGATGTAGAAATCAGCTGAAATTCCTGCACCTCATTGAAACATTCTCAAAACATGGCTTAAGTCTATAATGAAATTTGAAATGAAAAAGATTTTATTGGGCTATTTGTAAGAAAATTCAAACACACCTATATTGTGTTAGCTTCAATCCACAAAAACATCTGCTCAGTGAATAAAATGAAATCACAAGGATGTCTCAGTTAATGAAATATGCTGAATACCACACTTTTTCTTTTTTCCTCAGCTTTACCCTAGAAACCAAATATGTGATTTCTTATCATTACCCACAGCTTTCAGTGTATTCAGCCTAGAGATGAGGGTGATTCTTGAGGGTCAGAAACTGTGTTTTTGAGTAATACATCAGTGATAGTGTTCTGATAGTGTATTATACTAATATATCATGAGAGCGAAAGTGCTCTTGTGATGTATGAGTGCAATGTATCATCTGAACATCACTGCTCTCATGATGCATTGCTCAAAATCACAAGGCAACTTTAAAGATGGTCTTCAGTAGCCCTAGGCCTGAAATTTTGCTTTTGGACGGACTTTCAAGAAAAATAAAAGTGAAGATTAAAATTTGCAGTGGTACTGTAAAATTTCACTACTGTCTCACACCTGTTTCTCACATGGTTCTCATTAGATTTTAAATTTATTCATAAAAACAGAGTCAGTTCATCTGACAGTCATTTTCTTTCTTTTCTGCTACAAGGAATGACAGTTTTGCTACAAATATCAGTTTACAGGAATTTCTCTTGATGATATATATGAAATCTAACACTAGCTATCAACAACCACATTCCCCATAAGTTTAGTCGCCTTTAAGAGCAATTTTTATCTCCGTTGCAGAATGTTCCAGGATGCACACAGGAGAAGATCTGTACACCCCTGATAATTTGGAATCTCAGAAAACACTCAGGGATGTAGCCCAAAGCTCAGTGCAGAGACACTGCACTGCAGATGCACAGACCAGCACAGCAGGTAATGAATGAGCCTAATGTGATCTTCTACCCAAAATGGGCTTATGTGATCAGCGTGAAAAAAAAAAGAAAAAAAAAGTGTTTATGGCAGCATATGGACCACTTGGCACCAGTGGGGACATTCTCAGGGGTTAGTCACCTTTACTACATGCATTATGTTCTCACACACTGCCGGGCTGCACAGCAAAATCCATCAACTGTATCAGAAAACAAATGAATATTCCCAAAGTTTGAGGTAAGAACGATCAATTTAAAAGAGAGCAATTTTTTCCAGATACCTTTTTTTTTCCCCCCCTCCCTTCTGTGCATGAAACATAAATAAATATCTGGATTCTCCCCACTGTTTGTGCAATAGAAACAAATAGGACCAGCAATAGTGTCTCAAGTAGTTTCCTTCTCTTCAGCTTTACAAAGAAATACGAGTAGCACAGAGCAGTGGCTACCAGGTAATCAGAAACACTGAACAAGGGGACTTCACACCTTTTCTAATCTGCCTTTCAGCTTCTGGCCTTCCCAACTCAGAGAGGCTGATATTTTGATTCATTAGGAGTTCTTTAATCGATCCTTTTTACTCCTTAGTACTATTTGTTACTGATAAAGCCTCAATCCACCAAGGCACTTAAGCACCAGCTCGATTTCCAATGTGTGAATTGGTTCAGTGGGAGTATGCACGTTATGTACATGTGTCAGTGTTTTGCATCCACTGCTGGATACAGGGAGGTCTCCCCAGCTGGCAGTAGCAAAAATAACTTCAAGGTGCCTGCAAATTAAAGTTGCTTCCTTCCATTTTGTTTTCCAGGCAAAACAAAAACCTTCAGCATCCAAAAACCCCCACATTTGCAATTGACTGAAATGTGTCAGTAAATACAAACAAAATACTGGGTAGCTTTTTTTTTTTTAAACAAACAAAGAGATTTAGGCAAATCTTCAGTGCTTGAAGAGAAAAAAAATCTAAACGTTGCCCAAAATTATCAAAATTAAGTATTTCAGGGCTTTTTTCCCCCATTATTGTGGGTAACCTCTTGCCTGGTGGGCAGCAGGCAGCCCCATCACATTCCAGCAGGCTGTATTCAATCACTGTTGATGGCATTTCATTTTTTTCCTTAAGAATTGCTTTCCCCTCATTTTGCATTATTTTGATTAATAAGCAAGAAAAGCAACATACAACAGCCAAGACATTTACATTAATGGACCAATCAATATCACCCACACCAGGGTAGAAGAATGCAGACACACACTTGCACTGCTCAGCGTTAGCTCCATTCCCTCCTCTTGCCAGGCACTGATGGAGGACGGTGCGTGGGGTCACAGGATAAGGGACACTGGGTGTGACAACATGAGGACACAGCAGTGTGTCCCCAGGTGGGAGACACCGTGTGAGTTAAAGATGCCTGAGCCCCACGAGATGCTTCTGATACTGGGGACAAGATTTCCAGCCAGGGATGTCCAGAACAGCAGTAGCTGGAAGGAGGCTGTGGGAACTGAATTTTATAGGATGTTCAAAATTGAAATGATTAGACTGACAGTCTTCTATGGCTGGAACTACAGCTCCCTCTGCTTCCTGGTGGCTGCCACATTATAAATAAAATCTCAGTTCGAGAAACTCCTCATAGTGAGAACTATCACATGATGCAAATCAAGACCTTTATACCCAGAATGACAAGACCATTAGAAAATGTACTGCAAGGAACAAATCTGTAGTGCCATGGGGAACTCACGAGCCAAAGCCAGCGTGTGATATCTCTGACCTCCCACTGCAGCGAGAGGATGCTCTGCTCGAGCCCTGCAACATTCCCATGAGGACTGTGGGAACAAGGGGCTGCCTGTGGGCACTCTGGAGCACACTCATCCCACCACTGCCAGAATATGGCCACAGCACAGGCATTACACATCTAACATCGCTCTCCAGTGAACCAGGGCTGCAGAATGCTCAGAAAAGTCTCAGCCAAAAAAACTGGAGCCTGTGTGTTGTGGAAAAACATACATTCAGGTAAGGTGAGTTCTGCTCCAGCACTCAAGGCCATGCAGAAAGCAATGTTCCTGGTTATGGCTGGGTTTATATACTGAATTATGGTCGAATAACCAATGTGTCACCACTGCACTGGATGTAAAGTGAAAATACTAGACAAAAATAGACAGTGAAGGAGATTTCCTGGGTAGACCAGAATAGTGAAGAGCAGATGACCCTGCCACACAACACTGGGGAGGACATGGATGTTGCCTGCAATAATTCATGAACATTATGTTGTGTGTACTCAGCTGCTGTGCTGGTTAGCAGAGCAACAAAGCTCAGCTTCCAGCAGAAAGGGAGATAATAGCCTGTACAAGAGCTCCTCAGCACACACCCAGGGTCTATTAGCAATAAATGTGGCTATGGGATGAATACATAAAAACTGGCAAAGGGTCACGCAACCCTGAGGACATGGGTGCTGCCAAAAACTTGGCAAAGGAAGGGCTGTTCCCCCTTACACCTGCAAAAGCAATACGTGGCTGAGCTGTGCCTTCACACAGCAAAACCAGATGCCTTTCAGCACCTTAATCCTTTCCCTTGTTACTTTTCATTCTTACTATGGAGATGAAGCTTGGCAGTCGTGGGCTTCCATGGTCTCATGGTGCAGCAAGGTCAGGAAAGGCCATGATCTGGGGCACAGAGGGACATCAGGGCCAGGAAGAGTAAACTCCAGTGTCCTTGCTGCTGTTGTATTC